ATTTTATCCTATGGCCCAAGAGACTTGTGAATCTGGTTTAAGTTGTGGTACGAAATTTCATGAATTTTTATTATATAGCAACTTCCTAATATATGTTTTTTATTAACTATTTCTTGCCTTTTCATTATGTAGAAGCTGTTCTCGCCGAATCTCCCAAAACTTTCACAACTGTCGTTGACTCCACATCAACGAATGATCCTAATAGCGTATGGTTTATCATTCGAATTCAATAGTTTAGAAATGGATCCAGAGGTTGTGGGTAAGAAAGACATGATAGTGACAATTGAACGGTAGAATTTGGTTTGACTTCTGTCGAATAATCAGCTTACTACACCATACATTGAACTATTTATGATGTAAGTATGTTTTTTTTAATATAATTTCATTATTTTAAGTAAACTTAATCATCAAGTTTAGTAAACTAATATAATTGCATTGTTGTAGGTACCTTCATCATTTATGCATTACATCGGGCAAAGGTAATAAATTTGGATTCTTTTGCCCTCATTACATGACAGAGAAAGGTAATACTCCAGAGTTAAGGGCTGCGTACCTCCAATAGAGAATATGTGAAGTCAAAAAGGACGTTTTTATGACTCCATTTGCGCACTCGTAAGGATCAATTTATAATTAATAGTTTTTTTCAATATAGATTTACTTTAACTTGTATCATATTTAGCAGGGACTATTGGCAGTTATTTGTTCTTTCAATGAAGAACAACACTGTCATCTTTTTATGCTCTCTCCATTATAAACTTGGAAAAGAAATGAAGAAGATTATAGACTTCTAAGAATACTTTTACTAAACTATTTAATTTAATTTTTTTTTGGAATATTTTTACTAACTTGGTAATCTTGATCAAAGGGCAATGAGAACATATCAAAATGTAGTCTTACAAAAACATGGACATGAGCTCAAGGATACTATGGATTGAGCCAAAGGTGATGCTATACTTTATTAATATGTTCAATTATTAAGATTTCTTACTAATTTTTTATGATTTGTTCTTATACAAAATCATAAACAACCAGTGAGAACGAACTTGTGTAGTCTATATGTCATGAGACACATGCTCAATATTATCACATTAGGCATGATCAAATTTACAAAAGAGGTACATATATTTTTAAAAGTTTTATTTTATTATATTATTTGAGATTGATTAATACGCCTATTTTATGAATCAAATTTTAGATGTTCGACAATTCGGATACATTTCCTAAAGCTAAAATTGAAGACATCCATATATGTTGGGCAACTTATTTTATGAAGAATTTATGAGGTTTTTTGTTACTTTTAGACATGCTTTAATTTTGATAGTTGACACAATTTAGACAATTATTAGTTTTTCTAATAGTTAAATAGTTTTGTATAGTTGATAAATACTTGATAAATAATTGTAAATGAATTAAGCTGTCTGATTTAGCAATTTTTATGTACAGGAATGGTAATTTTGACAATTTAGACAATTGTTAGTTTTTTTAACAGTTAAATAGCTTTGTATAGTTGATAAATACTTGACAAACAATTGTAAATGAATTGAGCTGTCTAATTTGGCAATTTTTATGTACAAGAATGGGTAAAATCGATAAAATAAATATAGTATAAAAAAATTAAATACTTTTTATACCAATTATTACCATAACTGCTGTAGAATATAATATTTTTTACATCAGTTATGGTAATAACCGATGTTAAAAGTGGAGTTTTAACACTAGTTGGAAGCCTAACTGGTGTTAAAAGTTAAAATAAATTTTTTTATTTTCTTGCACATAATTTTTAACATCGGCTTTATAACCGATGTAAAAATATTATTTTTTGCATTGGGTTTATAATCGATGTAAAAAGAAGGACTTTCTACACTCCCTGGAACAACATCGCTTCTTTAACCGCTGTAAAAAGTTATTTTTAACCGCTGTAAAAAGTCATTTTTGTACTAGCGATACATGTTCTCATGCTACATACATTCATTCAAGTTCATTCAAATACTTTAATAACATTTTCATTTGACTTCTTACACTTCCTATACCTTTTATTGGCAAATCTTTTTAAATACATTATCAAGGCAGTTTTATTTAACTTATGGTTTATTGAGACCCAAACTAAATAACTTTATTACATGCTCACTATATATAGTTGTCAATATACACGGGTGACATGAAACATAATGTGTTATCACAATTGTCCAACTCGTTCTTTTTTCACTTTAAAAATCATTGAATCATTTTAGTATTACAATCAATATGCATGTTTAACTTAGAAGAATGCATTGTAACATCTGTATTCTTGAATTATCAAACATGTTTTATTGTATAAGATTTAGCACATCTTATGCCTATCACTTTTACTTCTCTCTTTTCTTTCTCCAAAGGCTATTAGACCATATCTTATGCTATCAGCACAGCCCATGGTCAAGTCTGTCTCTACAGTATTGGGCTTCAAAACTTAAAATGGTCAGTAACTTTTCGGCCTATATATCTATAAACAAGCTTTTCTATTTATGCTTTCTTTCACAAAAGACAATTATTTTGTGCGAAAGGGGGAAATCCAAAGCAATAGTATGCTACCAAATAGTGCTTCCATGCTAAGCGTTTATTCATTCCATAACTTACAGCAGCGAAACATTATAAAAAAACTTATATATTTTCCTTCACCTTCCCTTACTTTCACTTTTTCTCTTCATGTTACAAGAACTTCATGTACAACTTGTAATTAATACTTAATATTTATTCACTTTATTGCTTAATTTATTATAATATATATTATGAATACTTTTCATTAAGGGAAAATATGAAAACTTGTCATTTTTCATAACTCCCCTTCTGCTTCACTTTTATAACATCGCTTCAATCATAATTAGATCTTTGACTTCTACTTCATTCCTAAATAATGCAATTATGCTATTTCTCTTATTAGTTTATGTTCCTGCCAATATTGCATACAATGAATCTTTTTCCCTCTGAAATTTTTGAATCACGAACAATTATAAAACTCCGTGAATGTGCAACACTTTCATCATAAGCTCTCAACCATTTCCCATATTCAACTATCCTATTGAAAACCAACCGTGTCTAGACGTTGTTTGATCAACTAGCTTCATGATGGCACTGATAGGTGGACTATTTCTACTCAAGTTTATAGAAAGTGGAATGTTTCCACAAATTATCACCCAATGAGCTCTTCTGCATTACTATAGTCTTAATTGATGCTGAGGTTTTTTTTTTCAATTTTCCCTTTGCCTTATATAATAATAATAAACCATGTCATCCGTGTTGTTGGCTTTTATTTTTTTTTCTATTCTTTCATTAGGGAAACAAAATTCAAGCAAATGTCTCGAGTCAGAGCCCTTATGATTAGTTTAGACTCTTTCTAGTTAAAGGAAATACATACTTTATTGCTAACTTTGTCATCTAAAAAAATGCTAACCAGTTTAGAGCAACACCATATCCTTTATGATTACTTTCACATAGCAAACATATATAAAGGAAAAGATAGTTACAATATCCGACCTCTTCTCATTTTTTTATTATAAGTGATCTACTAAAGGTCACTGAGGAAAAAATAGTTAACCGCCTTTTTGGCAAGAATTGTAATGTCCGCCTTGACATTACCACGACAATACTCACACATCATTGTGATAACTCAAATTAAATAAAATCCTCAGAAAAAGTTATCATAACTCAAGGGTTTAAAAATAATTAGTTAAAATATTGGGATCCCAAGAAAACCCTTTTTAAAATATAGTTTGAGCTCAAACTATGGTCAAACATCGATTAAGAGTAAATATGAAAGCATGGGAAACAACTACAATAAAATTTAGCTTAAATGCCATTTAACATTTTCAGTCTTTTGAGGTGTAATCATTGCTTTTTTTTCAAAAGTGCTCCTATTAATGATGACTTTATATTTAATGTAGGGTGTTTAATAGGGATAAATATGAAAAACTAAGGTTAGTTAAAAAGTAGATAACTACTTAATTTGAGGGTGAGATTCGGTTAAAAATATTTTATATTTTTTAACAGAGGGAGTATATATATATATATATATATATAAGACAATATAATAATATAAATAGGTAAGTTTGATAAGCTTATAAGCTAGACTTTAAAACAAGCTTGATGGTAACCTTAAGTCTAGGTTTTTTTTTTAAAATAAATCAGGCTATAATCCTCTAATGACCTACTCTTATGATCTATTTTCATTCAAACTATCACTTATGGATAATTGATTACTATTACTATTACCTATTAACTTTAAAGGGAAACTTATAAGCTTTATATGCTTAAGGTGTTGTTTCCAATTAAATCAAAATATATGTATTTTTTAATAGATGATTTATTTTATAACAAATTCTTATTATTAATATTATTCATTAAAATTTATATGCATTGATTTAGTTGGATAAAAGTATATTAAACACATACTCTCTTTGTTAAAAATGTAAAACATTTTTGAAGGATTAGATGTTAAAAAATATAAAATATTTTTAATATTTTAAGGTATAATCATTATTTTTTTTAAAATGTTCTTAATAAATAAATTATTTTATACTTATTTTAGAGTCAAATATCTTATTAAATAGGGGTAAATATGAAAAGATATAGTTAATTTGAAAATAATTAACTATTTTATTGGGATATAAAATTTTATTAAAAATATTTTATATTTTTAAATAAGTTTTATCCTAACTTTAATATTAATTGCTACCTCTAGTTTCATTTATAATACAAATAGAAAAATTAATTTTAATTTCATTTATATGATGCTTCACTAATTTTTAAATTCATTTTTATATTTATGTTTAATTATAAAAATATTTTTTGTCTTTATCAAAAATAAAAACTTATAAAATTTAAATACAAGACAAAGTTAATAAAATTTATTTTTTTAATTTTAATAAAATGTGGTTACAAGTTGAATTATAAATAGGAAAATGAATATGCTGTTGGCTGGTAAAAAAAAAAAAAAAAAAATCGTATCGTTGTCGTACTTTGTCTTTCCCTCTCCTACTTCATGGGAACCTTCCGGAAACGGCTCTGCACGATCAATAAGTATTTTTTTTCCCTTTTTATTGAACGCCGCTTTTCCAGCTTTTGTCCATCCATTGGGTCTCTCTTTGTTCCTCCTCAACCAGACGGCATCAGGAGCTGAGTCTGCTTCGCGGTTCCATAGATTTTGAATTGAATTTGGATCTCAAACTGTTTAGGGCTACGTACTAATTGATTAATCCTGAGATTCACAATTATTCGCCGCTTCCCAAGGTGCAGTTTATTTGTTTGCTCTTTCAGGGGAAAAAAAGAAAGAAAGAAAGCAATCTGTTGATTTGTTTGGAGGAAAAATAAAGAATACATTGAGAAGTACAATGGAGGGTGGAGCTGCAGAGAAAGAACAGCAACAAGGAGCATCGTACACTTATTGGGTTAGGAAGATCACGGATGGTGCCGCGCCTATGCCAGTACCCCAGAAGCTAACACCCGAAGATGTCCTCTCTGGTCAACCTCGTTCAAACACAGTTGGTTCTGTCTGGAATCGCGTATGAGCTTATTCTCATTCCTGCATTTTCATTCTCTGTTGAACCAATTGAACATGAAGATCGGTGGCTCCTATTTATATCTGTTGATACATCTTACTTAATGTGATTATGTTTTCAACAATGGTTGATGTTCGCATCCATTTATTTAAGCTATTGAATCATACTTCATGTGATTTTGTTTATCACTGAATAAATGACCACATTCACTTGTCTATTATTTGTCAATGATATTACTTCTGCGCACTAAGTTTAACAAGTCACTTGACTCTGTTTAATCAGTGGTGATTCTATGACAAATATATTTTTTGCCTTCAAATTCTTTTTGTGGTTTTTCATTCTTGCATATAATCATGAGCTGATGGATTTATGCTTTTTTTCTACCTGCAGCTAGAGAATATTTCGTTTCTTGAAGAATATAATGTATGCTTAGATGTGGGGCTTACTTGTACCAATTGATTTTGAAATTGAATGTTGTAATATTAAAACAGGCTGGGACATGGGAGGAGAGAAGCCTCAACAGTTGGGCAACTCAAAGAATGAAGGTTTGAGTCTCTATATATCCCTATGTTCCCTTTTTCATTTAAGCCTTTGCATTTGGAGAAACTAACTCTGCAGGTGATTTGTTGGTGACTTTCGAAGGCTTCTTTATAATCTTGCATCAATCATCATGAACTTACAGCACCTACATACATGAATCCGTGCATGCATATATTTTTGTGCATGTGCATCTCCAATGTGAGGAGTAAAAGCCCAGAAAGTGAAATGAAGAAGGAAAGAAGGAAGCAAAAGTTTTGAACTTTAAGAAAGTAACGATGCCACTGGATTCACATCTGTCAAAAAGAATCTTGTGAAACTATTTTGGACAGAACGCCTAAATGAAGCAAGAAATACAACCTTTTCCCATAAGCCATTTAGGGTTAACAGGTTATCCTTGCAAAATTTAGCATTCCTTTACCACAGTTAAAACCGCACAATACCACTATTCTTTGCCCTCTTTATTTCTTTTCAAATGATTATACTTAATTAATAAAAGTTGATTTGAATTATATGGGCAAACTCTGATCTAACCTAATATTCTAAACAGCTTGTTCTGAAGAAAAGTAGCTATACTACAATGTTAGAACAATTGTGTAGTTGTCTGAGTTATCCCACATAAAACGGACAGTGTTAAAGGGAAGTGCCATATTTGTCCTTTGAATTTGCATCATGTCCCAAGGGTTGATTCTGTTGAGTACTGCTGTCCACTCAAAAGATTTCACTTTTTGAAGTGCTTAAGATGGTCAAATAAAATTCTTGAGTAGAATCAGTGCTGCCCTCACTAGATGTCACCATCTCATCCCATCATCCTCATCTACGGACCATGATGCCTACTGCTGAAATTATGGATGGACATATGATATTAAAAGAACTTGGGCTGTGGAGCAACATTTGAGGAGAGGGTCTAGAGGTTAGAGAGAGAGAGAGAGGATTTTGGAGGTCATTTTTCAATTGAATTATTCATTCCAGTGTTAAAATCCTCATCCCTCCCGTTTTTAGAAGGAATGGTCATTCCTAAATTTATGGGAACGCGCTCTCCTATGGAATGTGTATGGCAGCAGCCAAATGCACAAAATAACAGAATGGAGAGGCTTATCCCATTCATAGGACCCGTTCCCAGGAACTGAATGGGCCTAAAGAGAGACAAACACCACCTAGAATGAACATAAGACCCTCGAGTTCATGAATTTTTTTTTTTTTTCATCAGAGGTATTTCTAGCACAATGAATATTACAAGAAAACCACCCTTAGAAAGGCCTAAGGTACTAGAAATGTTAGTTATACCGTGAGGAAAGATGATACGAATTCCATAAAGCTTTACAAAAGAGAGCATTTATTCTCTATAGTTCCTGTCATCCACTTTGAAGGTGCAAAACAAGTAATTTTTTTTGGGATGAATAAATTTTAATGGACTAGTAAAGTAGCAGAATATGCCAGCTCAGCATCCCACTATCCCAGTACAAAATGTATCCATACAATTTGATGTTAAAGAGGACATGTCCTTTGTGGAACCACTATAGCCATTTACTATAAAAGAAACACTTTTGAGCACCAAATTATAGGCACAGTCCTGTTCCCTTCTTAGACCTACACCAAATCCCCCAACTTATAAGGTGATTTCTACTTAACTGTCCCCACACTTGACCAAAGAAAATCTCTCAAATTTTTCTTCAGGCAACACTCTCTAGAATTATAGAAAGGGACTGTTAATATAAAGGAATAGTTGAAGAGATTGTGAATAATTATTGTGGCCACCTTAGGAGAAGAAAGACCCTTCCCAATTGTTTTGATTGTTTGAACAGCTAGTTCCCAGAAAGAAAACACCTTTTCATTGTGCAATATTCATGTTCTCTGTTATTATTTTTGAGGCTACGACTGTTGCTTCATACATACATTATATTTTTCTGAATTTTTCCTTGCAGGAGTTGCTAATGTCAGTAGGTTCCTTGCAGTTTTCTTCTGGGAGAGCAGAAATAGAAGATGTAACTAAATGTGTTGGTGATGTGAGTGTATTCTATAATTTACCACTAAGCTTGTTTACTTTTTCAGTCTAGACAAATTACATCTAATAGAAGATGTAACTAAATGTGTTGGTGATGTGAGTGTATTCTATAATTTACCACTAAGCTTGTTTACTTTTTCAGTCTAGACAAATTACATCTATAATAATTTTTGGTAACTTCATTGTTTTCTGTACGTTCCAGGTGTGAATTTGTATTGGACATTTTTGCTTTATAAACAATTGGTTAAAAATAAATTTATGTCATAACTTATAATTCTTCTGCAGCGGAATTAATATAATTGTTCAAGCTCACTGTATTATATAAACAATTGTTTATTATTTATTTGAAAGCAATATATAGAATCAATATTAAACGATACTAATTTAAAGTAATAACAGTGCCCTTTAGGATGACAAGGGAAGTCTTTTACATGAACTAATTAGAACCAAAGATCTAACGAACTAACATCCTTGTGTGTATGGCTAGGAAAATCTTCTTATCCTTACCACACATCAATTTATTCATTTATTTTTTCTTTTAATCTTTACAATTTCTCTACAATAAAGCTGAGTCAAAACGATTTCAATTGAATTATTTTGCCAACCTCTTTTATTGATGGCTGTACATTTATTAAAAATATTGAATTTTTAAATCAATAAATTTAAAGAATGAAACAGAAAAAAATAATTCTGTATACAGTCTGAGAAGAAAAGTACCAAGAATCTTATCAAAAAAAAAAAGAAAAGTACCAAGAAATAGGTCATGTTTGGAAGGTTAAGGTATGAGGGTCTGGGATAAAAAATTACCTACTTTTTTGACAGAATGCATTGTTAATGAGAAAGGTGGCGGAGAGTGATTTTTTTTTTTTTTCTAAGTTTCTGTTTAACCTCTATTAAACATTTTTTTCTGTACAGTTTGGGGTATAAAATAGTAAATTATCTGCTTTTTAAATTAAAGATGCTGGTGCTGCCTCCTCCCTCACCCTGTTCCTTTTACTGCTGCTAACTTGGATGAAGCAAAGTTTGGATGGAGATATTGGACGATCTTGGATTTGTCTACAAACTATCGGTTTTATATATTTTGGATTGATCTTTTTATTTTTTTGGGTCATGCGCTGCTTAGGCATTTGTGGTGATTGTTCGAAACAAGAAACGTGTTGGGTACAACTACGAGTTAACCTTAAAAGTTAAAGGTACAATTCTTGTTGGGCATTTCAAAGACACACACATGTTGGCTATTCTTTCTCTGCACTCTAATTAAATTTTATAAATCATGCCACATTAAAAATGAAACAGGGGAATGGCTTGTACGAGAAGATAAGAAGTTGGTCAATGGCCAAATTGATGTCCCAGAATTCTCAGTTGGTGAGCTGGACGACTTGAAGGTAACTTTCAATATTCATTATGAATGTTTACATTTACAAGCTGTAAGGAAAGTGGATAGTGCTTTCCAAAGGTTTTACTTTTCTACTATGTTTCAGCCAGTCATTGCAGCATGTCAATTGGGAAACTCTTTTTTCCTTCTTGCTTTTTGTTTATAGGGAACTTTGTTCTCCTTTTCCCTTTATTTATTGTTTTGTTCAAAAAGTATTATTTTATCTAAACTAAAATTAATATCATGGGTTCATTCTTGGTTGCTCAATAGGTAGATTTCTGGTAATGATGAAGGATTTTAGATCCACTGGTCTTGTTTCTAGTGTGCATTCATCATACGAGTATGGCAAAACTAAAATTCTTTTTATTTGGCTGTGTGTGATTAGGTAGTTTAACGTTTTATATGTTCAACAAATTGGAAAATGTGTGATAGCGGGAAGGATGAAGAATGAAGTAACTCTAAGGGGAACTTAAAAAAATAAAAATGTTACATTTTGATACTTTTGTCACGTAGAGATCTAGCAAAAGAAATTTGGATCATTTATTTCATTAATTAAATGGTTTTTCGAAAATTGAGGGTGAAGTGTGTGGCAATGTGCAGCCTTTGCATTTTAATGAAGTATTTTGATTTGGAGGCTTGCATTTTCCAAACATGTCTTGTTGCCTCTTAATTAGTTCTAGATAAAGAAATAATTCTAAGAACTATGACGTTTTGTGTAAAATATGTTAGAATTCCTACCCAAATAGAGATGGGTATAGGAATTGATGGACTAAGGTACTACAAAATGTTAAATCCTCACCTTTAACAATTCTCCTACACATCTAGAAGTGATATGGTTCAAGTGAAACGGAAATTGAAACCCATAAATTCAAATTCACAAATTAATCATTGGGTTACTGCTCATTTGATAAGTGTAGAATTTTTGCTGAGCTTTGAAAAATCATAACTAAATTTAGAAAAATCATATGAGGATGCTCTAAATTTCTTATGAAATCTATTCAAGTCCTTTATTTGATAAAAATACATTTTAAAACCTTATGCAGTCCAAATAGCATAGTTTATTTGTTTACATAAAGCTTTCCAGCATGTCCTAAACCAGGTCATTTGGACATGTAAACCTTGAGTTATGAATTTTTGAAGTTATGGCACAGGTAGCATACTCCTCTTAATTTCAAAGGCCATCTCTCCCTAATCATGCTAAATTCTTGCGTCCCTCTCTCTGATCTGACCCACAAGTCCATAACCTTCTCGATTTACTGCTCATTACAGCCTACTCTCTCTCTCTACCTTATGCTTCATGTGATGGTTAATTACAAATACTCTAGTTCCTCTTTTTCCTCCTCAATAACAGATAATGCAGCCTTGGGCTTTTTCTCTTCTCATATGTCATAAGCATACTTGGCCCTGTAGTTATGGCTTCACAGATCCGTCATCATCCAGCCCTGAAAGATTCCTCTTGCCATCTAGATGAGAATTAAAATTTAAATCTAGGAGGTTCTTTTTGGCAAGAATTGTTTAAACTTAGTGAAATTAACTATGTATGAGCACAACGTTTCACTCTCAATCGGACGAGCAAACAGAGGTTATCAAGTGCTGTTTAGAGACTTACCTGTGATGTTTTGCCTATGAACGACCCCTTTCATGGCACAGATTTCTTCCCTTGGCTGAATATTCTCACAACAGCAGCTCGCGGTAAGCTATATTTTATTTATCTAAGGATCGAACGGTACAGCTTGTAAGATACACACACACACACAAAGAAATGATCTCATGCAGCAAGGAGCATAGATTCATGGCTGAAACACAAGGCTGAAAAATAGAACTCTGTAATAAACTACCATAAAGAGAAAATATATACAATAAGTAAAGTGTTGGACGCACTTCCTATCAAGTTACTTTATAGATACTAATAATGTTCATCAATTTACTGATACAATCTTCAAAATATTTTCTGTTAAAACCCTTTGGTGAGAATGACTATTGTTTGATACTTGATAGGAACATAGGTTATGTGTATGATTCCTTCCTCTATGTTTTCATTGATGAAATTCCTATCCAGTTCAACGTACTTGATTCTGTTGCCAATTAATCAAATGCATGCTACATTCCTCGACCTTTTGTGTGGCCAAAACAATGCTATGTGACACTTCTCAATCTCATCACATAGGTCTAGGAAGCTGAGCAACCATCATAGAGTAGATAGGTAACGAGCCCAAAATTGACTTTGAAAGTATATGTCTAGCCATACTCAAACAATTAGCTTCCCATCCTGACAATCACCTTTTAAATTGTCCAAAACAAACTCAAAGCTTCTATTTTTTGATCTCCCATATGCCAGAGGTACAAGTCTTAACAATTCATTTTTATGTATCACAAGACATATTGCTAGAAAAAATAATTGCTGACTTATCCTCATTCATTTTTGACCGGATAAAACACCAAAATCCTTTAGACACTTCAACATGCATCTCATTTAGGGAGTTGAAGCTCCACCGAATATTAATAAATCATCAACAAACATCAAGTGCCAATGTGATACCTCTAGACCATCCCTTCTTACTTTATAAGATTTCTAGACACCGTGTGACCGAGCCCTTGTTTGAACTCCGTCCAAGATGTCATTGAAGCTCTAGTTTCGGCTCATTGAAACAAGTTTATGGCTTTCCCTTCTAATCCCACCACCGTAGGATCCATCTTTTCTGATTCCGGAATACTATTGATAGAAAAATACCCCTCTAAGAAAAAGGCCCAACCAATAGGGTCTTCTCCCTTGAATAGAGGCATCTCAAGGCATTTATATTTTTGGCTGTCTTTATCTCCAGCCTCCCCAGCTTCTTTGTTTCTTTCCCTATGGTTTGGGTGGTTCTTTGCACAAGTATTCTTAAGGATCATTGTTTTGTTACTCGTAGTTTCATTGCCTCTAGTCTCTGGTCCAACTTCAAGATTCGGGTTTCTCTTAGGTAATCCTTTGACGGAGTAAGGTAAGAATATTAGTGTTTTGTTGTTGTAATTGGTTAATTGTTCTTCGCAAAGCAGCTCTCTCTTCCCTATCCTCCATACTGGTTCTCTGCATCTCATTCACTGAGTTCTCCAAACTCTCCAACCTAGCCTCCATTCTTGTACTCACCATCCGCAAGAACAACTTGGCTTTGATACCAAGTTGATGGAACTAGGAAAATATCACTGATATTACTTCACTAAATGCTAGTTACAACCCCTTATTTAATAGAGGAATGGAAGAGGAAAATGGATGGAGTAACTAACTACAACTGAGGCAATGAGACAAAATAAGTAAGATAATTGCTGAAATAAAGAGCTTAAACAATAAAGAACCACTTCCTTGATGTTTGAGAGGTTGAGAGATCTCCTACCAGCAAACTATTGTTTGAACAATCCCCTCTTGAGGGCACACAACCCTAGGTAAACCATTTGCTCACTACCCTCCACAGTGTTATTGGGCTTTGGACCTAATCCCACTACTTCCTTTGGACTCTTATTACTATTTTGGGCTTAAGTGTCTTTGCAAACTGATAGTCTCTTATAGACTCGGTCCAAGGGAGGGTTGGTTACATCATCATCTCCTTCAAGAAATTACTCCTTGTAAAACTTCACAATCATCCTTTTTTATAGAGTCTTAACTCAATCCGAACTTTACCATTTCCAATTACACAATCAACAATACAATTACGAATCAATATCAAAGTAATAGCCCTTTATTTGTTTTCAAATTGTGGGATCCTGACTAATTAAAACACATATTCAAATAAAAGGGCTTGTGGAAGCGCAAACACAGTCATACGACTCAACAAAATATAACATCTCTATCCTGAAAAAGGATCATGCGCCCTGGCTTGTATCACATGTGCTGCGGCATGTGGTACAAAGTAACGTGCTCTGTTTCTGTTTGTACCATGCGCTGTAGTATGGTACACCACGTGTTGTGGCACATTTGCTATCATATGACAGCTCGGAAGACGAACTTTCGCCCCTCACCATTTCTACATTCGACGTCCAATTAGAGTGATTCAAGTGTCACATGCGGCTTACAACATATTCTAACTAATGGAATAAGTTTAAAATCAATCTAACGGTCCGATTTTAAATTGGATATGCGGGTGCAAAAGTCACTTTTTCTTTCAAAACTTGCACCCTAAGTGCTTAATTCTCATTCCTTGTCCCATTAGATTAATTTGGGCCTTGAACCAAATTTAAGAGGACCACATACACCTGACTGTCACTGCTAACCACATATATCACATCATTTACTTAAATTGATCTCTCAATGCCACATTACACACTTGTGAACTTATATGAGGCACAATACATGCAACACATATATTAAAGTAGACTTGTTTCACTTTCAACCCTTTGACTCTTACATATGGGACTCCACCTCACCATATGGTCGGGAATTATAATATACTCGACTCTTTCGAATGGGACTTTGCTTCATCATTTGTATTAAGTTCTCACATAAATACACAATTCACGATCAATTTCACATTCAACACACACACATATATACAATTGAAACAAGTAAGATAATGACATACACTTGCTTGGTTAGCATTTAGGCTTACCCACGTACCCTTTCATCGAGGCACCTTTGGCGAGATTAAACATCATATATATATATATATATATATATAAGCAAGTTTTCACAACACAATTCATATGTACATTCACTCATGCATCTTAATTGGTAATTCAAACTCTATACAACTTTATACATTCATTTATACATATGATAGTCATACTATTATCAAATGAAGCTACTCTTTCCTCACTTTTTTTCCTAGCCTTCTCTTGCTCTCTTCACTTGTGTGCAAAAATAATTGAGTGAGACATATGTTCCAGTAATTCGGAGGTAACCCCAATTAACGGTTAGTAAGCAAAATCATAAACAATAGATAAAATAGCATGTGTTTCTGTAAAAGCAATATCATATGCATATATAGGAATTTATTTTCATCAATCTCATTATGTTCATGCTCATGCATTCGTGGTTTC